ATATATATATATATATATATATATATATATATATATAACTATGTTATTTATATATTATAAACTTGAATATTTTTGGATACCAAATAGCGAATGCTTAAATATAACGAGCTATTTCCTGTTTTTGTTGTAGGGATCTCGAAGCCGGTATGAAGTGCATCAAAAGGTACACGATGAATTGCATGAAGGCGACGCAACGGGAGCACTTCAACTCTCTCTACTCCGGTACCAACATCGCTATCATGGAGCTTTGCCAAGATGGCCCGTACCAGGACGGTAAGTGCTTGCCCAAATCATCGAACCGATTAGACTATTGCATCTTCAACATAATGTACAACGTAATTGCCAATAGTTGAGAATACAACATGTGTATACAAGAAATAATTTTAAATATTATAAAATCATTCGCGGGATTGAGACAAACATTATTGAAAATCAAACAATCTTTCTAAGCTAAATGGATTATCTGTTTTTATAGCGAAGATATCGTGAGAATATATTTTAGGACTTATGAATAGAGAAAGAACTAATGCAAAATGAAAGAGAAATTTGAGGTGTGAATAATTACGAGCGCTCGTTATACGGACAAAAAAGGGTGGTTGGATAAGTGATTTTTCTATTAGAGATGTGATATATAAATAACTTAGGGCTCGTTATTTTCGAGGATGGAAGGTTCGCCGAAGCTGTCACGTCGTTTAAAAATTCACACATGCCTCACTATCAACGCGGGAAATAACGACGTGCAAAGCCGATCGACAACAAAGCTAGGTAGGCAGCCCGTTTGCCGATTGGGCAAGCGGCGGACATCAGTGCAATTCCAAACTGTCGGTCTCCAGTCGGAGATAGCACTAGACTCAATAATGCATCCGGCACTCTCGAGATTACGGGAATATCGCGTAGATTGTCCGCGGGTCGATCGAGCCGGCATGACTCTTCATAATGTACCTCTCCTCCGCCAGAGAGAGGAGAGTACTGTAACATAATGAATTAGCGTTAGCAAGGAGAGCAATATCGATTCCTCGTGCCGGTACCAGCCACGCAATACACGGCTCGTGTATCGTAAACAAGAAAGATACGGCCTTCATATTCAAAACTATAATTCGAAAACACGACGAGACTATGTGCGTTAGTCAATGATATATGTACGCTCTTGTAATTATAGGCTGCGCCCGTAAATAACACGGGAGTCGTTTTTCTAGGAATAGAATAGAGAATAAGAGACGATTCGGTGAAATCTTAATCAGTTTTTAATCTTGAGAATATTTGAAGTAATTTAATTGTTTATTTTTTCAAAAAATAGAATAGTGACTCTGTTGATTTTAATTATCAATATTGTTGTTAATTA